CTGAAGAGATTAACTACATTTATCTTATCAAATTATATTTTTGAGTCTCTACACTTTTAGGTAACAAGACTAAATAACTAAAGGAATGGTTTATCATATTGTTATATTGTTAATTTATTATATTGGTGTTGTTTTATCAAATCTGTTGTGCGTAAACAAATAATAACTCTGTTACTGTAATTCAGCAATGTTTAAACTGCACAGTCATTTCTCTTTTAGATACGTTTAGATAAGAGTTATTTTTCAGTTGATGTAATTTGAAACAGAGCTTGTGATAAATCCCAATCTCTCAGCATTTTCAAACTAATTTCAGACCTTTAAAATATATAATTACTATGGCAAATATAACATGTTTAGTTCTTAAAATACACACTGATTCCTATTGAGATTGCAATAATAATACATTTTTAAAACATAAGCAGATTTTTATTTACACTTGATACACAGCGTTTAAAATGTTTTACTCCATTCTTCTTCCAGCTAAACAGCCACTTACTTTCATTCTGAGAGAAGTCGCTGAAATAACATGTTGTAAATCTAGCAGCATTCATACCGTTTCATTTTTGTATCTTGAAATGAATATTATTTCTTCTGAATCATTGTCATTCGTTTTATTTTTCCTGTTTAGAATATAACTGAGTCTTTGATTTTCATTTATAAGGGATTTACAAAGCATAAATCATCCTCAGTTCATAAAAATTCATGTAGAAATGTGTTAATAAAAACATTTACTAACATATAGAGTAACTATTACTATACGCCTTACAAATAAGGTGCATAAATGTTCGTTTGAAAAGTTTTATTTAATTTGCATTTACTCACTCATTCTGAATGATCTTAAAACCTGCAACTACTCTTAAATAACTAGTTTGTAAAAAATAAAGTACTTAATTTAGCAAGAAAAAAAATCATTAAGCAAGTCTGAAAATACAATCCTTAAGCACATTATATGTCCTTATAGAATACAATAGCTATATTTATAAACTGCTTACTATGTTTATTAATTTAGAGTTATTGCATACAGTGTGCAGTTATTACAGTGTTACCCATCTCATTAAAAGGGATAAATATCATATTAAGGCTTTCAATCTCAATTAAACATAAAAATTATTAGCCTTCTGAGTGTGATTTTAATGCAAAAGGTGGAAAATTATAGGAGATTTGGCATCCTGTGATCACATCAAATCTCAGATCGCTGACAATATCAACTCATATTTACAAACCCCTAATATGAAATCAGTCACCATATGATGTGCAAAAATGTGATTTAAATGAACCTTTGGGATTTATGCGAGACATTCTGTGAGTGCAACAAATCAACAACCAAGCAGATATGCAAAACAGCATGCAATATCTCTCTCTCTCTCTTTCTCTCTCTCTCTCTCTCTCTCTCTCTCTCTCTCTCTCTCTCTATCTCTATATATATATATATATATATATATATATATATATATATATATATATATATATATATATATATATATATATATATAGTTTTTATATATATATATATATATATATATATATATATATAGTTTATATATATATATATATATATATATATATATATATATACATATATATATATATATAATTTTATTATGTATATAATAATAATAATAATAATAATAATAATAATAATAATATACCTATAGATGCAGCAGCCCTGCATATGTATATAAAATCAAATATCTTAACACAACAAATTTATTTTATACAACAAATATAAAACAACAAAACCAAAAAGCATTTCATCAATCATAAGTCAGAATATTTTATTTAATTTTTTTTTCTTTTTTGGTCAATAACAAGTCAAAACAATTAAAATTGAAGAACTGAAAACACAAAAATGCTAGTATCATAACTTGTGGAGTTAAATACATAAATAAATGCATACATACATATACATATGTGTGCAACCCTACATATTTTACAATCACAAATCATGTAATATTTTTGAAAGAAACAAGTAAAACAATAATCCATAAATATGTGTAGCCCTATACATAAATAATAATCGTAACAACAACAATTCATACTCATACAGTATTGCAGGCATGTCAACAATATTTTTACAAAAGCATTAATAATTTTCAAACAATGATTAATAGTATTAATAAAGCCATGTGTCCACATGTACCCCTATATAAACTTTCTTAACACACGTTAAAAGATTAAAATATTTTAAAATATCCAAATATTAATACCTTTTCATGAGGTAACTTCTTTAATTCAACAGAGTACCCCTGACAAGCAAAACTTTATGAATCTCTGGTCTAGAGAAACAATAAAAGAACACAAAAACGCTTTGAGAAATATTTTTACCCATGCTTTTGTAAAAAATTATGTTCTTGACAGAACACTGAGCACATTATAATTGTTTTTTCATGATGACCCATTAACAATTGATCAATTGACAAATCCTGTTAAAGGATTTCTTTGTAGTTGTTGTTGTTATAATTATTTAAACTAATCTTAACCCATTTGTGCACAATTTTTTTAAATAGATTTTATGCATATATCCTTGTTAGTAGCGTCCTATGTGAACATCTTTTGCATATATTTTCTCCAGTTTTATTTTTCTTCTTTTTCTAGAAAATCATTTGAATATGCGACAACAAATTCATTCAAATACATTCAATGTAAAAATTGAATAGGATGAGAACATTCAGCATCCCACATTAAAATAACTAATATTAAAAATATCTGCTTTCAACAGATCAATTAATATTTGTAAACACATATATCATGTTTAAAATTTTAAAACCAACTAATATGAACCCCCCAGAAATTATCTATCATATTGTTTCATGAATGAAAACACAAAGAACAAATCAATTTGTCTTACAGTGATGAAACACACTAGTTTCCCTCAACAGACAATTGTGTGTCAAAAAGATAAATAAAAAAGATAATAGTTATTTCAATATTTTGGGTTTCAGTGACCTGACACTTTATTTGTGTGTGGACGAACAGCCAAACCATGTAGAGAAACAGCAATTTAGTCAATACCCATGTCTGTGTGGACAGCAGGGTTTAAAGTAGTGACTGAATTGTGTTGTAGTTGTGTGTTTTTCTTCAGTGATTCTGGTTTTTAATAGGAGTTCATTTTCTCTGTGCTTATTTAAATCTTTGTGACCAGTAAGAGAAGATAATTTTACTCTGAAGGTTTTGCTGTCTATTAAATTGTGTATAAAAAAAGTCTACTTTAAAGTAAGGATATTAGCTAAAAAAGGGTTGTTTTTAAATGGGTTATTATGAAAGCAAACATTTTCACAGAATGTTTGGAAACCTGTCAGTTCAGTTGAAAAATAAATTGGTTCATATGCAAAAAACAACCATGAAAATTATAGGAATAAAACAATACAAGCCCATACAGACTCTATATGAACAGGCGACTATGAGAAGAGCAATACGTATTAGCGCTGATTCTAAACATCCCCTTTTCAGTGAATATCAGCTGTTGCCATAAGGAAAAAGACTGAGAATGCCATTGTGTACAACTAATAGACTTATCTCTACCTCGATAAAACTGTTGAACTCTACCAATAACACTGTTCCTGTAGTACGTTAGCACTTGACTGGTTTCTGTGTTTTATATATTTATACTTATATTCGGTCTTATTCTGTAAACAAAGTATGTTCTTAACTGTTTGTTCTTAATTGTTTTGTTTTATATATTTTTACTGTCTGTTTAGAGCAATGTTGTAGCACCTTTTTTGCCCAAGAAAAATTTCCTCTCAGGGACAAATAAAGTTTATCCTATGTCTGATCACATTTTTTTTTTCCTCTGGAGAAAGTCTTAATTGTTTTATTTCAGCTAGAATAAAAGCAGCTCTTTTTATTTTAAGGTTAAAACTATAAGCCCCTTTCGATAGTCTACAGAACAAACCATCGTTATACAATAACTTGCCAAACTAACCTGCCTAGTTAACCTAATTAACCTAATTAAGGTGTCTTGAAAAATATCTAGTAAAATATTATGTATTGTCATCATGGCAAAGATAAAATAAATCAGTTATTAGAAAAAAGTTATTAAAACTATTATGTTTAGAAATGTGTTGAAAAAAATCTCTCCGTTATACAGAAATTGGGGGAAAAAATAAACAAGGGGGCTAATAATTCTGACTTCAACTGTATTAACACATTATTTCCTAATTCGCCATTATTTATGTACTTGGTATTTGCCCACCGTCATCTATAATAGCTTCTTGAACATTTGACAAACTATACACAAAACTATAGATCTCTTGAACGTTTTGTTGTGTTTGGATGAATCTATAGAGACCTTCATGAATATGTTGATATATATTTGTAAACAAAAAAAATTATTAACATGAAAATTACCTTAATTGGGGAGGATTTATCCTGGAATTAGAGGTAGAAAGTTGAATTCATTTCCTTTTTTCTTTCTTGAAATATTTTATTTGTTTGTTTGCTCACATGTCATTGAGAAATTAGCCATGGACAACATATAGAAAATTCATTATAAAAGGAAAATGTCAACTATAAACTTCGGCAAATACAGTTGGGGAGCTTAAATGGGTTAACTGTCCAATTATGGTATATTTAAAACTGTATTTTATGTGACGTTGTTAGACGCTTGGACAATTTAATTTCCCTCTCGGATTAATCAAGTGAATCAATCAATCAATCAATCAATCAATCAATCAATCAATCAATGTTTCCACTGAAAAAAAGACACAATTTCATAAAAGCATTCAAAATGATACCACCAAATAATTCACAGCTACAGCTAGAATATCATCAATACTTGCGCTTCATCTCTCGCATTAACAAACATTTTGAAACTGGCCTCTCAAGGGGGTTGAAGCATGTTTACGTTAAACAGCAGGCTCCTTTTTATGGCAGCGAGTGACCATGTCATTTATCATTCTCACTCAGCACATGGAAAGTGTCCTGCGTGCTTGCCTGCATCTGCGGGCCATTCCTACATGTACAATCCCCATGAACGCATTGGCGAAACAATGTTCTCTTACCTGCAATGTCCCGAGTAGAACTTCGAGTCCGCTGGAGCTCGGCGCTGCCATGACGGGCCTGGATCGGGCTGGAGAAACGGAAAGAGGAAGGAGAAACGAGAGTTTTTTTAGCGTGATGCGGCTTCAGCAACACACACTGGTACAGTAAAAGCCGAGAGGGGTTCAGCTTGTCGCCTGAAACTCTATATCTGCCTCAGATAAACCCGCGGGCTGCTCCAGTTGTGTGCGGACATTGAGATGAGGATCCTATTAAAAGGGCCTGACGAGACACAGGGATTAAACCAAGCTGGGCATTTCACAGGAGAGAGGACACGGGCTGGAGGGATATCAAGAGGCTGAGGAATCTTCTCCCAGTGTGTGTGTGTTAAGGAAGAGAGTGTGTGTGTGTGCGGATGGGAGTTAATATAGTCAGGGCTTAAATGCTTGCCTGGCGCTGACTTTAAAAAGACGATCTATCCTTGAAATGAATCCCGACGGAGCAAATGAACGTGATTAGTTTGGGATGCCCATGCACAGCTGTGTTTTGGTTGGCATAATGGGGCATCTGATGCCATGGGAAACAAATAAATGTGCCATATTTGTTTTGGCGAACTCAAAATAGGGCTCCTGCAGTGAAAATGTATGTTTATGTGGATGATTTTATTCAAAGTGACTGATGAATGAGAAATATTTGAAGAAGTGGGGAATTAAGGGGAAATGTTTGACCTTTGGAACTGATTTTAGAAATAATCGATTGTATCTGTGTGGCTGTTTAAACTAAAGTACAACCAATCGCTTCAACTATTCCGAATGCTTTACAATTTTCAGGAACTGGCATATTTGCTTTGGTTTAAAATATAAAAAAATATATAATTTAAAAAAAATAAAAAACCTGTTTTCCACATATGTGGCTTTTATTCATTCATTTTCCTTCAGCTTAGTCCCTTTTTTATCAGGGGTCGCCACAGTGGAATGAACAGCCAGCTATTCTGGCATATGTTTTATGCCCTTTCAGCCGCAACCCAGGGTTGAGAAACACCCATACACTCTCACAATCACACACACACACACACACTCATACACTATGGCCAATTTGCTGTTTTCTTTTTGCAAACGAGCCGCTCTGCAGTATATGCAATTATATAGTTTTTTGTTTCTTTTTAAGAGTGCACACTCAGTCGGCGTCAATAGCCTAGTGGTTAAGTGCGCCAACATATAGCACCATGGTGCTCACGGTGACCCGAGTTCAATTTCTGGCTCGAGGTCCTTTGGCGACCCTGCCCTCTACTTTGATATTGCTTGACGCTAATAGCAGGTTTGGCATGCTGTTACAGGGGAGAACCCTATGCTCGGAGATAATTGAGCCCAGGGCTTCTGTCTGGTCGATGAGTATGTAAGGGGTATTAGATGAGGTAGTTCTCGAGAGCTCCCGCTAGTAAAGGAGGAAAAGGCTATTTATTGTGAAATTATACCCTTTTCTGCAAATCTGATGTCCTAACTATATTGTGAAATATCCAGCCTGATCTCACGAGGAAACGTAAATATTTTGCGTTTTGTCAGTTTAGTGGCTAATTTGTACGAGTTGAGTCATACTAAAATGTAAGATTTTAAAAAGGAGGCGTGGCACCCAACCCCGCCCCTAAACCCAATCGTTATTGGGTAATGGGCAAATCGTAGTAAATTGTACGAATTACATTGTACGAATTAATACAAATTAACCACTAAATCTAAAAGTTACGAATTTCTGTAAGATTGCGTTGGAAATTTCAGATATTCTGATTCTCAAATATGCGTAAAATGTGTATTTTATCATTTAATTAGCTTAATAACGATAACATTATTTGAACTATGATGCCGCCATGTTAAGCCATGATCACACTGCACTTTCGCCCCATTGACTTCCATTCATACACATGCAAATAATAAATGCAAGACTGCAAGACTGGAAATGCAAGCTCATGCAACAAGTTTTGCATGTCTTTACATTCCAAAGTTTGAGCTTTGTGAACTCTGACCTGCGAAATCGCATCATGTGATTGCATGAGACCAATAGAAGATCAAAATGTGACCTCTCTGTACAGAAATTGAAAATATGGAGCAAGCGCTTGCTTTATTGATGTCTAATCATCTTCTTTTATCCAGTTCCTTTTGCACCGTATGGCATAATTTTGCATGGCCAAACTCTAATGTGACCGTGGCTTTAGTCTGCTCTGCAGTGGAGAGATTAGTGCTGCTGGATTCACAACATGTTAATTCATCAACTTTTCCCACAATACATTCAAGTAAGTTGCTGTTTAACTTAGAGAAGACTAAACATTCTAGTAACCAAAACATTGGTTAAAATGTTTGTTTTACATTGTTTAACCTAAAGATTGTTTAAAAATAATTATAATTGTCATCTCCAAATCGTCACCTCAGAATAAGGTTCTATCTGATATGTGTTAAAATTGAGTAATTGACATTTTCTTATTAAATGATAACTTTTTTACATTATTTGATGTTTTTTTATCTAAGTTTTTCATTTTAAGACTTTTTATTTAAAAACAAATGTTACACACATACTGTTGTCTATATGGAATGCAAAAACTTTAAAGCTCAATATCTTAAAGTCATTCAGATTGCAGATAGAACCTTATAATTCCAAGGAGTTGAAAAATGTCAGATATGAACTTTATAAATCATAAGTATTGTTTTGCTAGTAATTGCATATTTAAATGTCTGTAACATAAAATAAAGTTTAAAAACACTGATAAATTGGGATTTGAGACTTAACTTTATGATTAAGTGCTGCAGTGCAACAGTTTCATTGTGGGAAAGCAGATTTGAATTTAGCAGCAGATCATTCAAAGCACTGAAAACTCTAATAACTGCTGAGACAGTATTTCTTGCAACACTAAATGTATATCCCACAACCACAAACAATCCTCTTTCAATCCTCAACGTTTTCAGTTTGTCAGTTTCAATTCTCAACTTCATCTCTCAATTAAAAACATCTTCTTTTAAACCCTTTTCCCAGTGCCGACTGACATAATTTTGCACGCTCAACCGTGTGACCGCAAATTTGGTTTATGCTGCTGTGGAGAAATTTGTGCTGCTGGATTTACAACATGTTAATTTATCAATTTCTGCCACAATACATGAAAGTAAGTGGCTCTTTAAATAGGAGAAGATTATAGTAAACATTTTAATAACCTAAAATGTTTGTTTTACATTGTTAAACCTAAAACAGTATATTTAAAAAACAACTACAATTGTCATCTCCAATGATATCAGGTAAGTACTTTACAACCCATAAGTAATGTTTTGCAAGTGTATTTAAATGCCTGAAACATAAAATAAACACAAATATTAGTTAGAAAACAGGATTTATAACTTAAATTCATGATTAGCAGTCATTGTGGAAAGCAGATTTGAATTTAGCAGTTGATCACACGACAGAACGCTCTCATAACTGCTGCAACAGTATTTCTTACAACCATAAAGAACTTTTTTTTCATGATTTGCCTGTTTCAAACCACAACAGTTTCAGTTTGCCAGTTTCAATTCTCAACTTCATCTCTCAATTCAAAATCCATTTTTCATAATTACTTCTCACCAAGTGACATATGACTACTTTAAACTTTCAAATCTCACAATCTCAGCTTGTATTACACTGCGATACAGTACGAGACCAAACATTTCTCTTAAGAACAAGTTATCAGGGTGATGCCTTCCACAATTACTCTACATGTATGTCAAACAAAGCTCGCTTTTGTTTTCCATTTTCATTTCTCCGAAGAAATCTTAAGAAAAACACACTGACTTTTAGATGAAGCAATACCTGAGAACTCAAGTCTCCTGAGCTATGAAAAAACAGCAATAAACTTGAGTTGCACACACAACTAGAATAAAATAATGAGAGAAAACCAATACCTGCAGCTTGCTTCAGCATATACAGTAGGTTGAAGTCATTACGTTTCTCTATAGAGACACGGTTATGATTGCGGTATACAGTTGCTTGTGTTAGAGTTATGTTACAGTCATAATTTTCCACATGTGGTGCCACTAGTGTCATCGGCAAATGACGAAGTGCTGATTTAAGATGGAATAAATACACAAACATGCAAACACACATGAATGTCCAAATAACTGTTTGATTTATCGATAGCTAACACAAAAACATATGCGAATGCATGACGCTAATTGAGCTTTATCATATAGAACAGTGTTTCCCAACCCTGTTCCTGGAGGCACAGCAGCAGTACATATTTTGGATGTCCCCCTTATCTGACCTATTCATTTCAGATTTTGGAGTCTCTTCTAATTTTCTGTTGAGTTGATTTAGGTGTGTTAGAATAGGAAGAGGTTGAAAATGTGTACTGTTGGTGTGCCTTTAGGAACTGGGTTGGGAAAGACTGATATAGAAACCTATTCAATGTTGCCTGATTTATAACATCCAAACAAACAAAACAAAAAGTGGTTTGTGTCTTTTTGTGTCTTTACACCACTGTCGCGCTCTTACAGTTATGCTACTGCATGAATTGGCATATTCAGCATGTGATCATGCAACAACAAAACGCTGATGCTTTGGAAAAGCGAGCCAAGGCATTCTTATATTTCCCTGAGCTTGTGACTGATGGGTTTTTGGCAAAGTTACACGTGTTAAATAAGTGTGCAGGAGGACAGTGTGAAATTGATGCCAAGAAAGTCCCTGCCTGCAAAATCAAATGGTGGAATTTCCTCTAGTAAAAACCCACAGTACTTGTAATATGACATACAGTAAAATGAGATGAAACTGTCATTTAGTTACACTGATGACATAAAAAATTTGTATTATTTTTATTTATTTTTTTATGTGTGTGTGTGTGCGTGTGTGTGTGTGTGTGTGTGTGTGTGTGTGTGTGAAGACATTAACAATAAAATAATTGTTCAAACTACTTATTTGAAGGCGAAACAACACAATTTTAAAGTTATTTTTGCGACAATCTAATTGTTTTATGATGAATCCACTTAAATTTGTTTAAAATATTAAGTTAACTTGATCGATTTGTGTTGGGACAACATGAAGAAATTGTGTGAAGCTCAGCATTTTTTTACAGTGCTTATAAGT